TGGCAACAAATGTACAAATGTGCTTGACACAATGGATGGATGGATGGATTGTGATTAGAGTTGTATGAGCCCCCATAAAATGATCAAATTAAAAAAAAATTCTCAGAAGAAGCAGCTCAAAAAAAAAGCATTGGCGCCTGGCTGGGGCTGCTCAGCACTGCCTTGAGCTGGTAAGCTAAGCAGCACGGGGAGCTGCCGCCAAGATGCAGAGGAGGAGGGTCCAGTGACTCTCAGATCTGTGTTTGTCCTCTGCATCGTGGGTCCAAAGTGGGTGCACACTTGGGTGTTCATACGGACAAGAGCTATTGGCCTACACCGATGTTCATGACAGCATTATTCAGCACAGTCAAAACTGAAAATCAGCTAAGTACATGCCGATCAGGGTGCAGATGAACATATTACGGTACGGGTTCACGATGGACTATTACTTAACATAAACAGGAATGAAGTTCTGATACACGCTCCAACGTGGCTGGACCTCGAAATGATTCACAGTGCGATTGAGTTCATTCTGACTCCCAGCAACTCTAAAGCACAGGGGAGACGTGCCCCTGTGGGTATCTGAGACTGTAACTCTTTACAGGAGTAGACAGCCTCTTCTGCTCTCCTGAGGAGCAGCTGCTGGTTTCAAACTGCTGACCTTGCGGTTAGCAGCCACCACTCCTTTGAAAACATTACGCAGCATGAAATAAGCACGCTATTCAAAGGACACATGCTGTGTGGTTCCCCCTTGAAAAAAAGGAAAACAAAACTCAGTGCCATCAAGATAAGGAGCTCGATAGAGATCAGAGTTTACTGGTGGGAACCGAGGTGGAGCAAGGGGTCAGGGCCTTTGCTCAGGGCATCACTGAGTTTCCACTAACGGAGATGGCGAGACAGTGCAAGGAGCAGCATCACTATCGCTGAACTGTACGTGCAAAAGTGGCGGAACGGGCCAATGTTTTTTTTTTTTTTTAAACATTTTATTAGGGGCTCATACAACTGTTATCCCAATCCATACACACATCAATTGTGTACAGCATATTTGTACATCATTTCTCAAAACATTTTCTCTCCATTTAAACCCCCGACATTAGGTCCTCATTTTTCCCCTCCCTCCCCGCTCCCCTCTCCCACATGAGCCCTTGATAGTTTATAAATGGGTATTTTGTCATATCTTGCCCTGTCCGACTTCTCCCTTCACCCACTTTTCGGTTGTCTGTCCCCCAGGGAGGAGGTCACACACAGTTCCATGTAATCGGTTCCCTCTTTCCTACCCATTCTCCCTTTACCCTCCCTGTTTTGCCACTCACACCACTGGTCCTATAGGGCTCATCCATCCTGGATTCCCTGTATTTTCAGTTCCTATCTGTACCAGTGTACCTCCTCTGGTCTAGCCAGTCTTGCAAGATAGAATTCGAGTCATGGTAGTGGGAGCGGGGAGGAAACCTTTAGGAACTAGAGGAAGGTTGTATTTCTCATCATTGTTACATCGCACCCTGACTGGCTCATCTCCTCCCCGAGACCCCTCTGCAAGGGGATCTCCAGTGGCCTACTAATGGGCTTTGGATCTCCACTCCGCACTGCCCCCATCATTCACTATGGTGAGATTTTTTGTTCTGATGATGCCTTCCACCTGATCCCTTCGACACCTCGTGGTTGCATAACGGGCCAATGTTTTATTCCATGTATTTTATCACAGTAATGATTAATAGTGTAAAACAGCTCCTGGGCTATGATTTGAGGTATTAAGGAGTTCAATGGCTAAAGAGCTATGATAGGTCAGACTGGGGCCACATGAGCCCTACTCTCAATTTCTGCCGGCTTTTCAGGCAAACAGAGTGCCTGCCCCACACAGGTATATTAGAACTCATCCGTAAGGTGCAGAGCATCACTCCGCATTTCCGAGAAGAAAACGGGCTCTGAAGCAAATCAGTCTAGTTAAGAGGTGGAGCCAGGAAGTGACCTGCGCTCTGAGTCAGAAAGCCCTTTGTAGACCTTCCAGTCTCCTGGCAGAGCACACATAACAATAACCTAGAGGCGGACGAAGAGGAGGAGGGAGGTGAGAACCAGAGATCCACTCACTGTACTTAGCCAGAAAGAAATCGCCCATGCAGTTGATTAGCACCCTGTTCCCTTCGAATCCCATTAGTTGGATGACGTAGGTCTCCTGCATGCTTTTCCAATCCGTTAGGTTACAATGTCGTTTCGTGACATTTTCACAGCCAGCAACCAGCATCATGCTTTCGGGTGTACTTTGATAAAGAAAATGTAAAAGGAAAGACATGAGAGAGGCAATCTTTAGTAATCCTCTAATGAGAATCACAGTTACATGCCGGATTCAACTTCCTCATACATCTCTATGTCTATATCAAATCATCTTTGCTAACCACCTTATGGAATCGTGTGTGTACATACACTTCCAACTCCTTTTACATGGGACCCAACACCAAACCTAACATAGAATTGGTTCAGAGTCACAGCAACTGTATAGGACAGGGTAGAACTGCCCCTGTGGGTTTTTCCGAGACTGCAACTCTTTAAGGGAATACAAAGCTTTGACGTTCTCCCTCTGAGAGGCAGGTGATTTTGAACTGCTGACCTTGTGGTTAGCAGTCCACCACATTATCCACTATGCCACTTGGGCTCCTCCATAACTGTTACTAGCCAAATAAAGAACCAACAGAAAGACACTAGGAGGGGGTCATTGGATGGAAACAGCAGCTTGGGAGATGATTGTTCAGAGAGATGTGGACAGAGAGAGATCCATCCATCTTACACCACCTCCTAAGGCCGGGATACTGGTGCAGAGACACTAAGCTCTGTGTCCAAGGGCCACAGTTGGTGGTGACCAAGCTCAGTTTTGGATACAACGCTGTCTAAGCAGCTTTCTGGTGCACCTGTATGCCTGCACAAGTGAAGACCAACATAAAGTAGCAGTGTGGTTCCCCAGACCTTTGGACCATGTCCTCAAAAAGTGCAGGATATATATACACCCTACCCACACATCTATGTGTGCATATGCACATATGTAGTATACTTACAGAAACACATATAATACATGTAAAATACAATATGTATAAGATAATATGAATATATAACATGTACAATCTATATACATATAACATATAGAGTTTACACTGACAGGAACAATGAAAAAATTGCCAAACCATAAAAATAAATAATGTCTTTACGAGGCTTTTGATCTGTAGGAATTAGCTTTAGTTATAAATATGTTTTACTAAACACTTATAAATCTATAAAAAGTTATACATTTTATTAAAACCGTATACATTTATCTACAATTAAAAAAGTTATAAATACAAGTTCTACTAAAACGCTTCAGATTGATAAAAATATTCAAGTTTAAAAGTGGACAAGCCTTAAACCTTCTAAAGTTTTGAATCAAAACAACAACAAAAACCCCCCCAAAACTAAAGGGACAGAAATGAGAGGGAGCGCAAATAAATGTAGCTCTCGTACCAGTCAATGTCTCTGCTCCCACCCTCACAGTCGACCAGACCATACGTTTAGTAAAAGTAAAAGTGAACCGTGAAACCAACCTCATGATGGTGTACCATAATGTATAGTGAGTCGGAACAATGGAAGAGTTTTTCAATTCCCACGACAATATGGGCAGAAAATTTTGTAGCGTCATATTAAAGATGCAAGGCTCATCTAACAACTCTAAGGACGACAGGAGAGAAAAAAGAAACAGGAAATTGAAACCCAGAGCTGTATTTTGGTCACAGTTCAAGATGCCTGGTAGAGTCTGGACGTCACTCTTCCAGGAGAGTTGTCTCCCAAGAAACCCAGGGGTCTTTGAAACACGAGTTCTGCTGGATGGACATGAGCAATGAATTAATAAAATGAATGAAAACGAAACCTATTGTTAGGGGAGGCAAGCCCAGGACACAGGAAATCAACTCTCTGTAAACAGGATTTGGGCTGAAGGTCTTAATCAATTCTCTCTGACTGTTGGTGGAGGAGTCACTCCAAATAACTACAGCTACTCTCTGCTGCCTGGACCACACTCCCTACATCCTTGCCCCAGACCCATCCTACTTTCTCAGCGTATCTCCCAACTCCTCCAGGAAGTCTTCCTTTAGCAGCTCCAAATCAAACTACAACCAAACGGACGGCCATCGGATCGACTCCGACTGGTGGAGACCCCATGGGACAGGGCAGGACCGCCTCTGTGTGTTTGTGAGGCCGCAACTCTTTACGGGAATAGACAGCCCCGGCTTTCTCCCATGGAATGGCTCATGGTTTCATATAACCCAATATCCCGGCAGGGTTTCCTCAGCTACCGGACACTTTCTCTCCTCTGAATTCCCCACCGCAGAACTGCGGAGGTCAGAAGACGTGCACTTTCTAGGCACTTAACTCCCACAAGGCCAAAGGCGCTACTCTTAGACCCATTTTATTGATTTTGACCCTGGAGGCAATGGCACACAGCGGGGGAGTGGCAGAGCCAAATCAGACTCGACTGCCACACTTGGGAAATCCTGCCTTCCCCAGTTCCGTCTCTAACGCTGTCTCCCTTTCCTGTGGTTAGGACAGGGCTTGTGATTCTGGTTGCCAACTTGTTCCTCTCTCAATGCTTTGGACAAGGCCAAACACCTAGCTAGTTCTTCGTGAAGTTCTTAATATAAAAATACCCTTTCCCCTTATCTGCTATCAATAAGTGGAAGAATACAGATCACAGAGGAATGCTTTCTGGACTGTTTTTGGTTTGGCATAGCCTGTGTCTTCTCATTATTCTTTAAGGGAGAATACTGAGCACTCTGTGCTTTCAAGGGGTTTACAGATTTTCTGGAATATCAATTTATCACAATCACGTGAGGCACATGGGAAAACCACAGTTGTCCGATTGACTGAGCTTCCTTTATCAAGACAGTATTTGAAGAAAAAAAAAAAGGATTCCAGTAAAATGGGCAACAGATCTGGGCTGAGAAATCTAAGAGCCCCTTGTTTGGATTTCTGAATAGCCACCCCAACACTTTAACCCTTTCACAAAATTTCGTCAAACCAAGAAATATCTCTTACCAGGCAAAGAGAGCGAGGTGGCAATCACAAGGCTGATGTACACTGGAAAAATAAACAACTTATTAGAAAAGTGACAATGTTTTCTCTGGACTCAACCTATAATTATTGTTCTACGCCTGGGACTCTCTTACACAGACATATTAAAAGTGGATTGAGACATTCTTGCACTAAAATAATGCTCAAGTAAATGGTTCTTAGTTGTCATCATTGGTCATGGCTCCTCATAGCGCAGTAGCACATGGTCCAAAGATTGTGACCTGAGTGGATGCAAGTTAGGATCCTACTTAGGAGCTGTACTCTTAACAGGGGTGAGGCCAGTTGAGAGGCTGTTCCAAGAAGCAGCCATCTCTCTGGGGGAAATAGAATATGATTAGGTATGTTTATAATGAATAAACATTAAAAGTAAAGAGCACCACCCATCCATCAGTTTGTTGTACTAGGGTGACTTGCATATTGTTAGGGTGCTGGAATCGATGCCACTGGTATTTCAAATATCACAAGGGTCACTCATGGCGGAAAGGCTTCAGCAGAGTCCAGACACAGATAGCGAGGAAGAAAGGCCTGAGGATGAATCCAATGGGGATAAATCACAACAGAATATTGTTTGATATGGAGCCCCACTGGACTGCAGAAGGCCATCAAAATCAGTGACTACAATGATGAGCATCAGCAGGCCAAGGACCATGAAAAGCACTGGGTGATGCTTCCTTCTGTTGTACCTGGGTGGCCATGAGTCAGGGCTGTTGTGATGGCAACTAATAATAACAACAAAAGGATTTGGGGGTAAAGAGAGTTACCAAAGGCAATGGAGGAAAAGGAAAAGGGCATTGGTGATGGCACTGGGTGGTTCTCAACCCCTTGGTATGGGTGTATGGGTGCAGATACCTGGGGACATTTGCTGTCCAGCTGTCACAATGCATGGGGGGTGGGGAGGTAACTGGCAATTAGTGTCAAAGATCTAGGATGCTACACATCATAGAGAAAGAACTATCTCACCTCCAATAAACCATGGACTCGATAATGCACTGACACTGAAATACAATCAGACAGTCATGGAGAGGCATGCACTAAAAAGGAAGGAAGGAATAGATGGAGGGAAGGGGTGAATTTGAGGAGGAGGAGAGAGCAAGGACGAGAAAAGGGGAATGAAGGAGGCAGTACATAAAGGGCTGAAAGCAAAGTTCAACAGTGACTTTCTAGTTTGGTGGGTGTGGTAGGGGGATAAAGAGTTTGGGGTGATAGTTTCCACTCTAGACTGAGAGTGTTTAGAAGAATTATTCTCCAAATTACACATGAGGATATTTTCCATCATAACTATGCCTTAAGTCACTCTTGTTTGTTTTTCTAAAATGAAAAAGGCAGAAACCCATTCTGAAAACCAAACTCTTAACCCACACTTCCTATTTACCTCTTGTAAAGGGGAAACTGAGTACAGGGAGGAAGACAGACATAACTGACAGGACAAGGGAGAGTAGAACAGAGATAGCTTTATTAGGGTGTGGGGGGGCTCCCGGAAGAGGTTCCATGACCTAGGCCAACAGGTCAGGGAAGTCGTGCTCAGCAGCTGGGGGCGAGGGTTTTTAAAGGGGTCGTGAGGAATGTATGGCAATCAGCATATGGGGTCTGGAAACTCTGAGAATTGCTTGTAGACTCCTCTTGGCTTTCTTGAACCTGGAACATCTGGTTTCACTGGTTATCTTATCTGGCGGTTATCTTATCTGGCGCTGTCTGCTGTCCGCTGTTGACCTTTGGGATGTGCAGGGAAGCACGTGCAGGGCTCGGACTTGCTTCAGCTTAGTCCAAACAAGGCTGCCAGCCCAAACATTCCAAACGTCTTAATATTGGTAATGGGGCAACGTGTTCTGTCTTAACTACTTCCTGCTGAGATAGGGCAAAGAAGGGGGTAATTAAGAGTTGGAAGGTTTGGGGGCCAGGCTGGCCAGCAGCGGACTATAAGGGTGGAGAAGAAGTTGATTAAAGGTCAGGTTGGAGATATTTTTTATTCGTTCCTGCAAAAATTTAAACACACACAGAGCTCAGAGTAATAGTACACAGATTATTATCAGAGGTTTTACGTTTTTAAATTTTTTTCATCCACGTCACAATGGTTTTGCAGGGTTACCTGTGCCAGGGATGTAAGTTGTTGCTGCAAGGAGGTGAGAGACTCCGAGGTGGGGTCCATGACTAGCTGGAGTTGTCTGTTACAGTTTTATTTGGAGCATGCTGTGGTCTAAGGATCTCCTAGAAATCTCTGCTGCTTCCAGGGAGGAGGCAGACCTAAGATTTACTAGGACAGGTAGGAATACAGCTTAGTTTTGCCTTACGAGCCCTGATTTATTATCCTGATAACAGCACTCTTGAGCTTGTCCCTGAAGGGAGGCTAGAGACTGGGAAGGATTAGGAATGCTGCTCCTCTGACCTTTGGGTGGGGAGTAACTACGCTAACTCAGACTGGCCATATAGGCTGAGCTGTGGAACTGCATACAGTAACTGGAAAACAAGGTCCTTCTGTGGAAACATTTACACATTTAGTTATCTGCTCAGCAGTTGGAGGTCCTTTATGACTTAGTGTTTATTTAGAGTTAAACTCTGAGTGGTGGGGGTGGGGCACAGGTTTAAACAGATAGCAGCGGAATGAGAAGTTGAGGGAGTTGGGCTGTGTCTGCTTTAGATCTGTTTTAGGAGGGGCTGCAGGTAAAGGCAAAGGAATGTTGACAAGCTGGGTTAAGGGGGATGGTGAAAAAGGTATAGTGGAAGGGGGAATGTGGGACAAAAGAGTATAGGGGTTGGGAATTACCGTGTGTATGGGGATAACAGCTTGGTTAATGAGGGACAGGTCCTGGACCAAGCAATCAGTACCATTTGGTTTTTTACTGGTAAGATTGGAGTGTTGCAGGGATTGTGGGTAGGAGTAATGAAGTTGTTAGAAAGGAGGCATTGTATGATGGGTTAACACTGGGAAGCAATGAGGTCTGTAGTTCTTCCAGGTCGGGTGAAAGAAGGGGAAGGAAACAGGTGCTGTGAGACCAAAAGTTTAAGGTGTAAGGAGGTTCCTAACTAATTTAAAATGTCTTTTCCCAACAGAGGGATCAGGCACAAAGGGATTATAAGGAAGGAATGAGTAAAGGGCTAGTACACCTGGGGCAGGTAGGCTTGCCATAAATATCCATGACCGAGATTGAGGAAGGGCTGCCTAGCCCTGAAAATGAGGGCAGGTCAGAAAAGATAGCTTTTGTGTAAGAAGGAAATTTACTCACCCAATACCTTGAGCAATACCCCAGGCTTGGCAAGGGTGACTTCAGTCAATCCCAGCAGGGCCAACGGCGGGTCAGGAATTGGAAGGACAGTCCCTCCACGTGGAGACGCAAAGGGCCTGTCGCTTTTCCAAGGACAATCGGACTTCCAGTGTCCGCTTTGACCGCACGCCGGGCAGGGTTTGGTTGGAGCTTTAGGCCTGGGGCACTTCTGTGACCAGTGCCCTTCTAATCTGCACCTGAAGCAGGCACCAGGTGGTGGTTGTTGTTCCATACACCCTTGCCCCATGCTGCCCTTCCAGGGCCTCGGGTGGGGGGTGGGGGGGATCGCCAACCGCAGGGCTGCTACTAAGGCTTGGGTTTGAAAATTTACTTTTCTGGAACCAGGCATCCATCGCAGGCTGACGTTGCCTGTTCCTCACGGCTGTTAAAACCTTGAATGCCATAGTTGCTAAATCTCAGACCAGGGTTTGAGGGCCTTTCTTCTGCTTTTTTACGCTTTTAATGTAAAACATCAGTTAAGCAGCTTAAAAAGGTGGCTGGATTCTCGTCAGGCTTTTGAGTGATCTTAAGATTATTAAAATTGACTCATATGGGAAATGGCCTGAAGCCAAGTCAGGACACGCTGAAGCATTTTATTATGGTGGACATGTCTGTCCCTACCTGCTTGATTGTCAATTTGATCATCCTAACCAGGTTTTTGTCTGGAAACTGCCTAGGTCAGGGTCCATTAAATGAATCTGGTCGGGGTGCTGCTGAACAGCGAGAATAATGCGTTCCCTCTTATCTGCGGTTAGGGTAGAGGAAAGGATGACAAAAATATCATGCCAGGACAAATCGTAAGCTTGAGTTAAATATAGAAACTCCTTAATAAAGGTGGTGGGATCATTATAAAGGAGCCTAAACGCTTTTTAATTTGAGATAAATTAGTGAGAGAGAAGGGAACATGAACCGGACCACTCTTTCAGTCCCGGCCACTTCCGGGAGCGGACAGAGAAGGGGGTTCTGTGATAGCATGTGCTTGCTAACCGGGGAGGCGAGTGCAGACTCAGGTTCCTCCAGCGAGACGGGTAGATCGGGAGAAGAGGACATGGGGGCTCCAGGTGTGGCCAGAATAGGGAGAGGGGTGAGTAGGAGGGGAGGGGAGAAAAGGTGTTCAGGCAGGTCTGAAAAGGCACACACCAGAGGGGGTCCAGAAGCAGGAGAAGAGGAGGAATTTTTTTAATTAAGAGGACTTAGGAAGAAGAGCAGGAAATACAGAGACAGGGACAGGAGCTCAGAAGAAAGGCGGCCTGGACGTACAGAATCTCACACTATTTGTGAGTTTACTGGCAGAGAGTGTCGAGATTTTAGAGAATACTGAAATCAAACGTGCGGCAATTAAAGTTGTTACTTTCTGGAGCTTTCTGACCCCTTCCTCCTGCCGGTCTCAGAGTGGTGACCATGGATTTGTGCTCTGCTTCCCTATCTGGGAGAGGTCTGTTAGAGGCTGCGGGTGTTGGCTCAGAGGAGGCTGAACAGGGAGGGGGCCAGGAAGCAGAGAGAGAGACCCCGGGGAGTCTGAGGGGTCTGGCTCTGGGAAGGGGATGGATGTTGGAGGCACAGTGCCTCAGCCTTTGGGAGTTGAAGGGGTAGCGGAGGAGGTGATAATGAGGGGTACCCAGAATATGGAGGAAGCCTTACGGGGGAGGGGGGGCACAGATAAGGAGCCAGGGGGGTTGGAGAAAGACTGAGGGGAGTACTGTCAGGGGCCTGATTAAGAAAGTGTTTGGCTAAGAGAACTTGAGCAGGGTGACAGGTAGTGGGGAGGGAAGGGAACGAAGAAAGAAAAAGACCTGAACATATGGGACTTCTGATTATTTGAAAGTTTGTTGACAAAAATTGTTGAGGTTGCGGGGAACGTTAAAATCGAAAGTGCTATTTTCTGGCTAGTGCAACTCATTGTCTAATTGGTATTGAGGCCAAACTTGGTTACAGAAAAAGACCAGGCATTTAGGGTGGAGATCAGGAACCAAACCCAATTCAGTAAGGTTGGCAGTAGGCACCCCAAAGGACTGTCCTTAGGGGGTTGGGACAGAAGACTTCCCATTGTGTCTCAAACTGCAGGGGGTATGGACAGAGGAGAAGGGTGTCCCCATGTCCCCGTTCACACCCATCAGTCAGGAGGTGGCCCGGTAGCCCTTAGAGGCGTCCTGGTCACAGCTAGGGGCCCAATGGGAGAGTCCTGGACTCTCCGGAACAGGAAGGTTCCCTGGCGCAGGCCTGTGGCTTTAACCAGCAGACAGGGACCTCGGATCAGAGAGAGACACAATGGAAGCCGGCGAGGGGGAGGGGTACCTGGCTTTATGGCCGGTAAAATGGAGGTTGGTCAGGCCTTTCTTCAGGGTGAGAGGAAGGGGAAACAGAACATTTTAGAGAAAGCACTGCAGGGCCACAGACGCAAAACACACAAACAGGTAGAAAGGCTCAGGCACACCTTCTACGTTCCAGTCCAGGCAGAAGGTGCAGTGACTGCTCGGCCTAGGGCTAGGAGTCCTGTTATCAGCAGGACTCCCAGGAGGTAAACTCAGAGGCAAAAGGCTTGAGGCCACATGAGAGAAGACAGACACGAAAAGACGACACAGGAAACTGGCCTTATCGTCCCACCCCTTTCGGGGAAACGCAGTTATTTCCAGCTCCTCTTGGTACGAGGGTTGCAGAATGAACCCCTGCAGCAGAGCTACGTTCAGCTTCCTAGTGCACTTGCTTTTCAGGGCTTTCAGCTAGTTAGCCTCCTGTGGACCCTATGTTCCCGTATGAGTTTGCTGGTGCTCGGTGTCCAGAGTGACAAACAGACAAATGAGACAGGCGAACATACAGAGAGAAACACTGACCAGAAGTTGCTCGTTCAGACAGGCTCTGGAGGTTCAAGAGAAGAGGAGGGGTGGGCTGTGTCCCAGCCGAAGCAGGGCCGGGACAGCAGGGAGCGCATGTCCCTACCTCTCCCAGGTTTCGGCACCAAATGTAAAGCGGAAACCGAGGTACAGGGAGGAAGACAGACATAACTGACAGGACAAGGGAGAGCAGAAACAGAGATAGCTTTATTAGGGGGTGAGGGATCTCCCAGAGGTTCCGTGACCTAGGCCAACAGGTCAGGGAAGTCGTGCTCAGCAGCTTGGGGCGAGGGTTTTTAAAGGGGTGGTGAGGAATGTATGGCAATTATGGCAATTAGCATATGGGGTCTGGAAACTCAGAATTGCTTGTAGACTCCTCGCGGCTTTCCTTGAACCCAGAACATCTGGTTTCACTGGTTATCTTATCTGGTGCCATCTGCTGCTGCCCTTTGGGATGTGCAGGGAAGCATGTGCAGGGCCCGGACCTGCTTCAGCTTAGTTCAAACAGGGCTGCCTAGCTCATCTTGATCGTAGCATTGAGCAGAATGATACTCTGTCCTTTAGTGAGACTTCAGTTTGCTTCTCCCCGACAGGCTCTCTGTGATGAGAGCTGAGCCTGAGCTTGCTTCTGTAGGCCAACTGACTGCCTTTGAGTTCATTCCAAGTCATAGGACCCCATAGGACGGAGGTGAACTCCTCCCGAAGATTTCCGAGACTGTAAATCTTTATGGGAACAGACAGCTTCATCTTTCTCCAGCTGAGCAGCTGGTGGGTTTGAGCCACTGACCTGGAAGTTAATAGCCCAATGTGTAGTAACCCACCCCACCAAAGTGCTATGACAAAAAGTAACACTTACCCCAGGGATACCAATGAAGAGGTCTGATCATTGAGGCATTCTGGTTTAAAAGCATCTTTGATATTTTTTAAGCTCTTGCTTCATTTACTGTCACATCTGTAAGGAAAACAATCAAGAAGAGTTAGCATCTCTAATTACATTGTAAAGCTTTAAAAAAGGACAAAATCAAGATTGTCTGTCAGGGCCCTGCAGGTACTTCCCTGCACATCCCGGAGGTCAGCAGCAGACCGTGAAGCCAGATGTTCAGGGTTTGAAGAAAGCAGCAAGGAGTCGACAAGCAATTCTCACAGTTTCCAGACCTCATAGGCTAATTGCCATACATGCCTCACCACCCTTTTAAAAACCCACGCCCAGGCTGCTGAGCACGACTTCCGTGACCTGTTGGTCTAGGTCACAGAACCTCCTCTGGGAGCTTCCCCGGCTAATAAAGCTATTTCTGTTTCTGCTCTTCCTTGTCCTGTCCGTTTCCTCTGTCCATCTCTCTGTGCCTCAGTTTCACCTTTACAAAGAGAATCAAAGATCAGCAAGAAACAGTAATATTCTGAGTGGTCTTGCCTCAGCTTTGGGGACCAATAATTCCCTTACTTAGTCAGGGAGAAGTTGAAATATAACTTTTGGAATAGTTGATGCATTTACTTAGTTCAAAGATTTTAAAAATGCAAAAAGAAATTGTGAAAAGTTTCACTTCCTTTTGAAAACATTCATTAATTTATATCATGAATTCCTCAGAATGTCTTTAAACCGAAGCGCAAACTATATATATATATTTATATATATATTCCTGTCCTCCTCAACCCTCCATACCTGCCCCCCTCCCCTTTCTACACAAAAGATAGCATATACTATTTCTTGTTCTATTCTTGATTTTCCCACTGTTCTGGGGAAAGGGGCAAACCTCAAATTCGTGATATATTTTACAGAAATCCCTTTATTAAGTCTTACACAGGACAGAGGCAAGACAGAAACAAAACATCCAGACAAGGAAGGCCATGAGCATGAGGTCATATGGCATTCCAAGGATTCACAGCCATGTGGCCACTCACGGGGCTCAAGAAATTCACTGCCAGAATGGATTCAGACTCCTGGAGACCTGTTAGGACAGAGCAGAACTGCCCTTCTGGGTTTCTGAGACTTTCAATCTTCACGGGAACATCGCCTTTCTCCTGTGGAGCAACTGGTGGGTCCGAACTGTTCCAGGTCCCTTGGTTACTTATATATACAATGGAAAGCAATGGGTGTTGTAAACAAACATCATGGCTGGTGGCAGATCGGTTAAGCCCATCTCAGTGGCAGGCAGGACGCAGAAAAGGAAAGGGACTATGATTGGGACAGGCACATTATTGCAAATGAGAAAGGTTTGCAGCATTGGTTCTGTGGCCCTCTAGCCATGTTGGTCAGGTCAGGACTTGTAACCATGAAATCCTGGTAGCCCAATTTCCATCCAGGGCATGCCCAGGCATGTCTCTGAGGATGAGAGAGCCCCTCTCTGGGCTAGCTGGGGAAGTCACAGCAAACTCTCAATGCCCTCAAGTTCAATATGAGTCTTAATCAACTCGATGGCAGGGAGTTTTTGGTTTGGTCAATGGTCAGAAAGAGCTCTGTGGAGGCTGAATTATGTGACTACTCCACATGGATTGAGGGCTCCCACTCTGAAATGTAGCCTTCCGCAAACCTAAGTGCTTAGAATTTAAGCTCTAATAAATACCAAACCTAAAGAGCTGGGCCAATCTAGCTCAGAAGCAACAAAGCCCACATGGAACAATATATCAACCTGTGTGATCACGGGGTGTCGAACGGATCACTGAAGACAAATGGGTGCATAAGCAAATGTGG